AGGAGATTCATTCTTGGAATGGACAGGTCCACCATGGACATTTAAGAAAAGATCCTATATATATATATATGTATATATAAAACTTTAACACGATCTGTGATCCAGGAGCTGGCCTCAGCCTGATATTCATTTGTACTACGCGGCTCATAATCGCTTTAAATCGTTATTTTATTAATAAATCGTTGATATTTTTCCATAAAAATCACCATCTGTGTATTTCATTGCTATCACTATCCGATTATAACATGTCGAAGTCACATTTAGTTTACAAGTAATTCATTATTCATCTATTTTTTCTAGCGTTTCAATTTTTCTTATAATATACAGTATACACATATATACACACACACACACGCGCGCGCGCGCGCGTGTATTTATGAAATCCTCTCGCATTCATAATCGATACAATTCAATAATATTATATCACGTTATGGAAAGTTTATGTGACATATATTTTTTCTAAAATAGTGGTATTAAATTACGCCACAATAATCTCTACAGCAAGTGGTAATAAAAAAGTGTACAAAAATGGAATATACAAAAGGATCGATATTTTACAATTCTTAATTGTTTTATGCTGCGAATTTATCTATATATGCTATATTTTATCAAATAGTTGAAAAAGATAATTGGCTGCATATATAATAATCATATAAACGCATCATAATAAAAGTTTAGCTAGATAGGAACTCTCGCATGGAACGATTGTGTTGAGCTCTACAATAATGAATCTTCCTTAAAATCAAATTATGGTATATTAATTATTCAGATTGTATGTGCAGCCTTATGTAAGCATCTTGCTTTTACATACTTTTCGTTTAGCATCGTATCGAAATTTCTAACTAATTTACAATAAAGACAATCACTAATTATTTCATTAATTATTATATGTTATTAAATCCTAAATTTCGATATAAGAGTAAAATACTTATAATTTTGGTTCTATAAATAATGCTACTAATAATCTCACCAGCTGATACAAAAGAACATTTATATATCTTAAATATACAATGTTCACGTAATTTGAATGAATTTAATAATGCGTTTAATATTTTTCAATGTTAAAAAAATAATATGTGAGATAAATAATATATATATATATATGTAACATCAAATATGTAACACCAAAAACTATTAATTCGTACAATTCATATGTAATGAAATACTTGTGTGATTACTGTTTCCGTTTTTTTCAGTGAAAGAAAAAAGAAACACTATTATTTTATATGTACTATTTTACATAAACTTTTACTTTCTATGTAAATAGCAAATAATTGAACGTATCCAGAACAATGATGATCATAATAACCGAATTAAAGTGTTCATAAATATTATCAGCTAGGCTTATATTAATGATAGGCGATAATATAATTAAAATAATTTCTAATATGAGTAATTTGCTTGGAATGTAGTCTCCATTTGGAAACGATAATCAATATTAGGGATGAGCGATACAGAACAAACCTCAACATCTTGTATTGCAAAGTATCATAAACAGAAATATTGATATACCAAAATATCGGTTGAATAATTTGCGATATTGATGTCAATATGGATTCGATATTTTTATTTTTTGAGCATTTTATGCGTATCGATCGTAAAAAATCTTTTTGCAAAAATAATGATTAGATTGTTTTTGAGGCTATTTCATCAATCCTTTTAAACTATTCCAATCAGTTTTAAAAAAAAAATTATGTTATTTTTATTTGCAGTT